GTTGCATTTGAGAACTTTCTTATCAATATTCCTGTATCAATTATCTATTTCTGTACTACCAGTGTTAGAAAAATATAATAATAATAATAATATTTATTATTATTTATTTCTGTGGATTTGGTAGCCAACAGCACACCTCAGTTGGCATCATATACTGATGATATTGATGAACTAGTGGAGAGTGAAGTTATATCCGTAAGTACCCAATACAATGATAGGATAGGGAGCGCTTTGGAGGATGCGATTCTGAAATACCGATATTTAAATTGCAATGATAGGCCCCGGTTATTCCGTTTGCCCATTCATAAACGAAATTTAGCGCTGGTGGGTGCCCTGGATTCCTTATTGCCTGAATATTTAATAGCGAAGATCTTAGTGATACACATTCTATTCTATACTGTGCGGCTATTGCAGTTTTTCGATTAGCTGGTGTTAAAATATCTGACAATGTTACTACTACTCGACCTAAATCTACTGTACCAGCTTGGCAGTATAGAATTGAACTAAGCTAATGAGCTACCGATCAGGGAATATGCGGCCGAGAGTGATGCGCTTTGTGAAACAGGCATTCTTGGGGACTACCATTAGTCCAGTACATGTCATGTGTCACAGAGCGCATAGACTTTCTAAAGCAGAAAATGTATGCATGGGCAAATAGGATAAGACGGTATAAAAAACGAATAGATCGGTATAATCAGAATCGGATGTTCCAAAGAAATGAGAAGTGGGTGTACCGGAAATGGGAGGAACCGGATCCATGTGTGGGTGATAGGCATTTGCCAGATGAAAATGTCACAAATACATTTTGGCGTAACATCTGGTTGGTGCCTGTCACTCATATAGAAGGTGATTGGTTGCAGGATGTCAGATGCTCATGTGAGTCTATAACACCTATGGAACCTGTTAAAATTGATAAAGATGATGTAAATTGTGCAGTTCGTTCATTACCGAATTGGAAATCACCTGGTCCAGACGGACTGCACAACTTTTGGCTTAAGTGGTTCCGAAGCTCACATGCGCATCTCAATTCCAGGCACCTTTGGATTCGGGTTCATTACCCCAATTTTTAACCACTGGCATAACCCACTTACTCTATAAATCTGGTAGTGTCATGGATCCCAAAATTTTTAGACCTATTACATGTTTACCTACCATGTATAAACTTCTAACATCTATTCTGAGACTCAAAATTACTTTACATATTAATAATAATTCGATTATGTCAGTTTCTTAGAATGGATGTAGAAGTGGGACCCATGGCACTAAAGACCTCCTTATCATAGACATGACCATTAGCCAACAGGTACATCGTAATCGTAAGAGTTTGGCGACGTGTTGGATAGATTATAAGAAGGCTTATGACTCGGTTCCACACACATGGCTTTTGAAGGTGCTGGAGTTGTATAAAATTGATACAACTCTGTACACTTTCTTGAAGTCATGTATGGGGCAATGGAGAACAGCACTTCGCTATCCAGGATGTCGGCAGACGGCGATACACGATGTACTAATAAAGATAGAGCGGGGTATATTTCAAGGTGATAGTCTGAGTCCCTTGTGGTTTTGTCTGGCTTTGAACCCTCTTAGCACTTTATTAGAGGGTTCAGGGTTGTGTGTGGGTTGATAGTTGAATCTGAAGGAATAGAGCTTTCAGATTCAACAAAACTCAGATCTCTGTCTGCCACTGAAACTTACAAGTATCTGGGTATATCACAGTGGTTGGGAATACCAGAATCTAATATGAAACAAACATTGCAGGAACGCTTTTTTGGCTGCTTGAAAAAAGTACTATAAAGTCTTTTATCAGGGGGCAACAAGGTGCGAGCCTGCAATGGTTGGGTTATGCCGGTTCTGGTGTATTCCTTGGGTACACTTAGATGGACTCAGACCGAATTAGATGCCCTTGACAGGAAAGTCCGTACACTGCTGACTGCATTCCGAATGCATCACCCACGTTCATCAGGTATGAGATTGTATATCCCGCGAAAGCTTGGGGGTCGCGGACTATTAAATATCAACACCCTACATAATCGCGATATATGCAATCTCAGAGAATATTGTAGACCGCAGACCTGTAGTACTTAGTGTTAATGATCGCAGGGAAGTATGGAAGGGCAAAGAGCTCCATAGTCGGTTTTATCGGGCCCTAAACGGGTCCGATATAGATTTAAAAGCATCTACGACTTGGCTACGGTATGGTGATCTCTTCGGGGAAACTGAAGGTTTTGTTTGTGCGATTATGGACGAAGTTATCATGACGAATAACTATATCCTGAAATCCTGAAAGATGGATCGGTTGACATCTGTCGGGCATGCCACCGTCCTGGCCAATCAATCAGGCATGTTATTTCTGGTTGTTCTTTTTTGCTAACGGCGAATATTTGCACAGGCACAACCAAGTATCCAGGATCGTACACCAACAGCTTGCCCTTAAATACCATCTTGTGAATCTAGTGGTGCCATACTACAGGTGTGTGCCCGACCCAGTTCTCGAGAATGGTCAGGCCACGTTGTATTGGGATCGATCTATTATCACAGACAGGACTATTGTTGCCAATAAGCCTGATATTGTGCTGATAGATCGATTAGAGCGCCGCGCAATGATTGTTGATATCGCCGTTCCTCATGACGAGAATCTCGTGAAAGTTGAAAAAGAAAAACAAATCAAATATTTGGATTTATCTCACGAGATTGTCGATATGTGGAATGTTGATTCAGTGATCATTGTTCCGATAGTCGTATCTGCTCACGGATTGATAGCCAAGAGCCTCGAACAACACCTTAAGAGGCTCACGTTGGACGGCTGGATCAAGGGTCTGATGCAGAAGGCAGTCCTCCTTGACACGGCTCGTATAGTGAGGAGGTTCCTATCTTTGGAGTCCTAACCGCCGGTGTCTTGGTCCCTGTACCCGATGTCGGTGGTCTACTATTTTTTATATTTTTAAATGTATTTTTTTATAATTTTTCATAAAGTGTTAAAAATGTAAATAATATGTATATAAAGTAAATGAAGAGAATAATAATATTTTATTACACAATAGACAATTTGGTTTTACAAGGGTTCGCTCCACAACTGATGCTAGTATTCAGCTTATAAAAAATATATTTGATTAATGGGAGGATGCCTAGGATTCTCTAGGTATCTTTGGCGATTTTTCTAAATCTTTTGATTGTGTTGTTCATGAAATGCTGAACAGGAAATTACAGCACTATGGTATTAAAACTAAAGCACTGGAACTTCTTGCTTCATATTTAACTAATAGGATTCAGAAAGTTGAAATTAACGGTGAGTGATCTCCGGGTTCTGTGGTAGAAATGGGCGTTCCATAAGGTTCTATTCTCAGCCCATTTTTGTTTTTGGTATATATCTTACCTCACCTTGCCAAAGATAATCACGAGATTGTGTTGTTTGCAGATGATTGATGATGATGATGATTGATAAATCACTATTATTAAAAATCAAACGCGCATTTACTAATTTCAAAGACGTAAACGGCGACGTTTCGAAAGTGGTTCATTGATTTGACGTTAAGAATTTGGTTATGAATAAAAAAATAAACTAAGTGTATACGGTTCACCACGCCAAACGTGAAAACCACTGTGATGATTAAGGTTGTCGAGCTAAACCTTGTGGATACAACGACATTTTTAGGAATAACATTAGATTCTAAGCTACAGTGGAGACCACATATAGATAAATTATCGAGTAGACTCAGCTCAGCAGCGTACGTAGTTAGAAAAATTCAAGAACTGACTGATATTGATACAGCACGACTTGTTTACTACAGTTATTTTCATAGTATAATGTCGTACGGTATTCTACTGCGAGGGAATGCTGCCGACATTCAAACTATTTTTGTGCTGCAGAAGAGAGTAATTCGAGCACTTTATACTTTAGGCAATCGTTATTCATTGAGACAATAACTTAAAGAAATAAACATAATGACAGTGGCAAGTCATATGAATATATATATATGAAATTGTAATATATGTTCATAAAAGCAAAGATAGCTTCTTGAAAAGCGTGCTTTAAATACCAGAAACAGAAATAAACTTGTTGTACCTGCCTCTAGGCTCCAAAAGATAAACAAGTCATTTCGAGGTCAATGAGTCCGATTCTATAATAAAATTCCAAATAGTATACAAGATTTGAGTATAAACAAATTTAAATCCACAATAAAATGTAAAATATGACAGAAAGCCTATTTACTCCATTGTGGATAACATAGAAGACAAGAATGCTTGGGATTAATTTAGCACAGGCTATTTCGTAGTGGAATTGTGATGTGGGCTAGTATGTCTTTTATTTAATTTTCCATTTTTTTAATCTTTTATTACACTTTCTTTTTATTCCAACTTTTTTCTATATCTTGTTTTCTCTTCATTGCCTTTTTACCTTTTAGTCCTTAAAACTTACAACCCCTTGGAAATGGGCGGTTGTAAATCGGCACAGGCATATAAGAAATTTTCAATTCGTACATATTTAGTTTGCTAAATATGTGAGTGAAATATGCAAGTAAGTGAGGTTACCTGTATATTTCTTAAGAGGCTTGTAGGAATAGAGAGATCAGACAATTTTCTAAAACCATTTTAATAGAATACCTAATTTTCAATATTTTAAATACAGTTGAATTCTAAATATAGGTTTAATATGAAAAAGCTCTTGTTTAAAGTGTACTCTTTACGGTACTCTATTCCTGCTTCATTAGTTTGTGGAGATGTGAAACGCGATAGCATTTAATCAATAAATGATTGTTTACAATAACCTAATCTACGAGTACAGTTCAGTGTTACACTTGCCGGTAGACGATTAACATGGGACATTTGCCGTGTAAGGGCACGATATTGTAATCACCTCTTGTTTTGCTCTGACATTTAAATTTTATTAACAATAACAGTGATCGTTAGATGTTTCTATTTTCAATTTCACAATTTTTATTAGATATTCAAGTAAACGATGATTATTTCTTTCAGCTCTTCTCGTTTTTGTTATAATAGAAATGTACATAACAATATCACAGCAAAAAAGTTCAGAAGACGTTAACTGTGTATTGGATAAACTAATACAACAAGCTAATGATTCTGAGCCCAACTATAATGATGAGAATCCGTATCCTTTGGAGTCATATTATCCTGTTTCTATTGATACGGAGAACGAGCCAGGTAACGATTCGAATATATATTACTTTAAGACTTATATGGCTCCTCAAATAGAATTTAAAAACGACCCGCAAAGATCTGATAAGCCTGTCCAAATTGCTAATAATTTACAATCACGTAAATCTGACGAGGCCGACAAGAAAATGAAATTACTGGCAAATTTAATTACGAAACATAAAGTTAATGATCTTTCATCAAAACGATCACCGTATGGCCGCTTTTTACCAAAATCATTGAAGATGCTACATAAATATCCTGAGATTATTGTTAACGAGTTAGGAAATAATAATTATAGTGATGCTTTAACTTTAAGCGATACAGAATTTAAAAATAAAACTTCTCTTCAAGATTTGTTTTTAAAAAAGACGAGTTCGACAGTAAATAGTGTGGCAGTTTTAAACAGTTCAGTGAAGCCAACACTAAAAAATGAATTTCAAAAACCAGATGCAAAAGAAACAAAAATTTCTCCACAAGAAAAAAGTGTCCCAGAAAGTAATGAAGAATTAAAAAAGCTAATTCACTTGATTACGCAAAATAAAGAAGTTAACAATAGTCTCTTAAAGGAAATACGTGAACGTGATTCTAGAGAACAAAATATTTTGCTAGAAAAGAAAAGACTTAGTGAATACAAACCAAAGGAAGACGAGCCCAATTATGAATCTCGAGCAGCCGCTCCCTACCCTCTTGCAATACAATTGTCAAGTATAATTGATGGCTTAGGGCTACCGCAGAATTCACAACGAAATGTCGTTTCAACTACTTATTTACACACTCCAGTCGCTACGTACCACCTGTCACCAAGAGTACCAACGAAGCCATACCTGCCTCCCGGCGTCCTAAGCTTTTCAAGAAACAATGCCTTACAACAAGCCCGCCTTAGAAATGCTTTAGTTAATCGAGGTATATCAAGATATTCATTCGGACGTAATTTACCTGTGCGTTACGGTTAAATAAAATATAAGTAAAAACCACTTTTGTGTGTAATACTCATTTTAATACTTATATAATAGGTCTTTACCTATGATTTTGTATGCAATAAGTGAAAGTACTTATTTTTTCAAACTTTTTTATTTCTGTTATTCGAAGTAATCACCCATGCAAAAATAAATTGCCAACGCATTGGCAGTTTATTGATGCACTTCTTGTAAAAATCAGCTGGACGGGAGGCAACAAACTCTTCAAAGGCATTTTGTACTGCCTCTCGGGAATTGAATTTTTTACCCACTAAAAAGTTGTCTAAATTTTGGAAAAAGTAATAGTCGGTAGGTGCAAGGTCTGGTGAGTACCAAGCAACCAGCTTTGGTCAATCGGTCGTCCCCACTGCTCCTTCACGACAACCCGCGACCCCATACTGCGCAACAGACAGTCTCCAAGCTGCAAGAGCTGGGGTTGGAAGCTCTCCCTCATCCGCCATACTCACCAGACCTTGCATCTACCGACTATTACTTTTTCCAAAATTTAGACAACTTTTGGCAAAGATACGTCGATTGCATGGGTGATTACTTCGAATAACAGAAATAAAAAGTTTGAAAAAATAAGTACTTTTACTTATTGCATACAAAACGGCAATTTCATAGGTAAAGACCTATTATAAAATGAGTATTACACACAAAAGTGGTTATGTTATGTTATATGTATTGTTATGTTTTAACCATTTATAATCAGTCACCAACAGCTAGTTAGCAAAGTTGAGACTCGGAGCACAAAGAAACTCTACAATTCGCAGTCTAACTAGTGAGTAGGGAGCAAACACGATCAAACCGAAGTCCAAACTGCGCTCAAAGATCTAGTTAGCTGCGGGGATGACTCCACTGTTCATTGCCATGTTTGCTATTTGCCGACGTGGTTAAGAACCGTATAGCTCTGCCGATGAGTTCACAACATTGCCACTGAAGGAGGTGTAAATCTGTCTAATATGCAGCTCGTGTTGCAGCCGAATTAATTAAAGTGAAATCTTTGAGCATTTACTTGAATATCAACCTATCCGTGTGCAGTTAATTTGCGAACCGTGCAAAATAGTGTTCGTCACAATCGTATACTTTAATAATAAATAACAATATTAATATTAAAATGTATGAATATATGATTACATATGCTAATTTAATATGATAGGCGGAACTTTAAACAATATGATTTACAAAAAAGGAAATTAAATTTGTTCGATTCTAAACAGATATAGTCACCAGTATATTCTCTTCTTTATCCTAAATAATTTAGGCGATAATAAAAGTGTTCAAAAACGTTCGGGCCAGGCATAGACTGGAGAACAAATATAGACGGTTTATACCATATGATTGATAAAGGCTTATGAAGAAAAACCAACAAACGTAAAAGCAAATTAAAGGAGCCAAGAGAGCAGAGAAACAGATTTTTTTTTCGAATTTTTATGTCCGTATGGCTGGCAGACTGTGTATACTACGAATATGAACATGTATTTGATCTAGTGCCGACAAGGTTGTCTAAAATTTGAACTCACGAGGACAGAAAATGATAAAAACGATGACTAGAACTATAAAAAGACAATTCCTGCACTAGGCATACATGTTGTCCCGTGAGGGGATGGAACCCACAACACTCAGCGCAGTAGGAAGCGAGATGACCGCTTAAACCTCCACGCCATCCGTGCAGTAATCAACACATACCACGGTCGTATATTATGTATTTGCGGTTCTAGTTATTATCAACACATTACACGCTGCTTTGATTGAATTAGTTACAGATAGGCTACAGATTTCAATTACACGTACATATATACAAATGTGATGTTCAGTGACAAAATATCAAGATGATCACGTTTCTTTCTTCTGAGGTGACTCTGAACTCCTTGATTCAATTCCCTACTAATAATGATGATAAATTAGATGCGTGTGTAGTGTGGCTATCATATCGATTCACCGATACGTATGATTGTTCCCACCTTAGTGGTATAGAGAACAGTGTATTAACAGTATTATTATCATCAGTATTAACCAAATAGTTCCATGTGAAATTTCAAGGACTCAACCACTGTGTACTTAAAAATTCCCATAATAATTTATATTTAGATTAACACTCTTCATTAAAATAGTTTATTATTTCTTGGTGAGCATAATATGTACTTATATTACTCCAAGAAAAAATAAATGGTCAATCACGAATAGTAAAAATCGAACATGTATTTTTATGTTATTTAATGTATGTCGGTATAGCCGTCCCGTCTGACGCGGCAAGCCGTGCGGGGTTTGAGGGACGCATTAATTTTTCACTGCTGGCTGTTAGCGGCGCATTATAACAAGACAACTTCATACTCGCAGTGGGGGTAATCCTTGAGCGCATATTTCCACGGCACGTGTTAATCTCCGTGAAGAGCTTTCAATAGCGTTTCGCATATAGAAAAGTTTCATGTTGAAATGTTTGAAACTTCTCACCAGCTCGTCGGATGAAGTTGCTATGTTAATGTATTTCCGCTTTGATTCAAATCTATCTGTTCCTCAAATGTATAAACCTTTAGTGTTAGTACAAAGAAAATACAAATTGGCCATTTAGATTAACTCACGAGATTTCTTATAGGAGGTTTCATGATATACATACATTGCATGCACTTTGATTAGTGAAAAATAGAAGTACATAAAACACCATAATTTAGGCATTTTTAAATAATTATGTTATTTTTCTTTTATAGTATGCACTTCCCAAAAATTAAACTAGAAACTAATACAATACATTATAGATTAGTCAGTAACAATGCTCAGATATGACCCTATTTATGTTCTAGTTTTAAAACGTACCGTGTACTCACAAGCGCGGTGCTATACCGTCGAGTTTGAATTATAATGAACTGCAATAATATCAGAACAAAGTAAATATTTCCTCATGTATGTTGCTTTTAAGAAACTTATACAAACCCAATTTATTTTCCATTTCCTCACTTCATGAAAACTTAAATATGTTCGCAAGGTAAACCACTTTGAAAGCCATCCTTTGATCGAGCTTATCTCTTTATGCAAAATCCTATCAAAATTTGATGCCACAAGTACGTCTAATTCACTTTAAACTGTGATGGTGATATTTATCAGAATAACACTTTAAAGAAGAATATTAACCTTATATGGTAAACAAAAATAGAACATACCAAACTAATTAGACAGAAACTAATCCCGTAACTTGATCTACATTTATAAAAATAGACGACAAGCTCTCTAGATAAAACAAATTGTTTTTGTTATCTTTCCATAAGAAATGCTAAAATTGAGTTTGGTACAGGCGGGTTTAATAAGAATTCTAGTGAAAGAGCAGGTTACACAGGCGCTCAACTTACTCGCGATAAGCGAACTGAATCGGGAAGGCATCATTTCATTACCCACTATCGCATCCGTTTAAACAAAAACCATATTCCGTATGCAGTCGGTATATACCTATTCAGCATTCACAGTATACTGGAAATCCTTGAAAATAAGTTCTATCAAAATAATTGAAATATAAATATATTTTCTACTTTTATAGACTGGAGACGAGATGGATAGGTAATTTTCCAGCAGAAAATTTCAATGATTTTTAACTCAAAATTATGGTCTACTATTTCAGTATTCTGTTACACCGTCTCTTACACCCTGCATAGCAAGGAATCATTTATATTATTCAAAAGCAACGTGAAAATAAAGCCGATTTATTACTTTATTTTTTTATTTTTTACATCAATTAGATAACTAGTGACGGAAATACATAGTAAAGAAAATAGTTTAGAATACGGTCCCAGATAATATCGATAAATTGTTTTTTTTTGGGGTCCAAGCCGATTATCTTTAATAAAATAAACATCTTGTTTTGCCTTGTGATTCTATAAACGGTATTCTTTCTATTTTTCAACGCACGGAAAGAGGAGAGGCAAAAACTTTCTATTATTATCTCGTTCCACCCCTAAGAGGCCTTTAAGGAGTAGACTTGTAGGCAAGTCTATTACTTAACCACTATACTATATCACTTGTCTACGCCTTGTAGTATAAACCACAAATGACACTGATTCACAAAAACACGCGAAATATTTTTTTACCTCTTGGTTAGTCATCTTAATTGCTGCCAAAATGATCGTTTTCATTATAAAATGATTTATTTATTGAAAGAACGATCATCTATTGTGTCCTGGTGTAATTTTTTAATAATATTCAGGCATTTAACATATTAATGTTTAAGTACGTTTTACCATGGTTCTGGCTCTGGCTTGTTTGGAAGCAGGCTACGGTGTGTGATGTGTTTAAAGTGGTCACTATTCGTTTTTATTTATCTGTTCTATGAAATTAAGTTTTACCAAACACCGTTCTATGCGAAAAGTATTACAATCAATTAAACAAACATTACAAAATGTTTTGTTGATATCTTTGAGTGCTTAGAGCTTGTAGTATGAAAATTATTTTCTAATAGTCCAAACAATATTGTAAGAAATTAGCAGATGGTCCTTAAACTGACTCTATTAATAAGGAAAATAATATATATATATATTAGATTTCTAATTAGATATTCCAAAACGTTTTGTTTCTTTTATTTATAAAGATAAAAAACAAAATAAGTACATTTGCAGATATAAATTTTTCATTCACGAGGCGTCACTTGAGAGGTAGCACTCCAAACTTTATGGATTGTGCATGAGACATAAATTAACTTAGAAAAGTAGTTTGACATAACGTCGTACATATACTCATATTGAGCTGAATCACAAAGAGCGAAACGTTAATACGAGCGTGTTACTTATCTGAAAAGCAATAGTGAATTTTCCACACTTTGCCGAACAACTTCCTCATTTCAACGGATGCATATTTTTCTTTGTCAGTCGAAACATTATTTTATTAAGTTCGTATCAATTATTATACTTAAATGTATGAATTATTAATTATTATTATATTTGTCATTTAATTATTAATTATAGTTATGTATTTTAATCGAATATATACTTGCGAACATCTTAAAGAATATATTT